ATCAATTTTTCTTTTGCTTCCTTTTCAGCAATGCGTGCACGTAACAGCTCATCCTTTAATTTTTCAGCCTCTGCAGCTCTTCTTTCTGACTCTTGTACCAATCTTTCTGTTAATAATTCAGCTTCCCTGGTTTTCCGTTCGAGGTGAACTTTTTCTTCCTCCGTTTTCATGTTGTTTAATCGTATACGTGTGATCTCCTGCTCTGCCTCTGAAGCTTTCTGGCTTAGTAGCATCGCTTCTTCTTCTGCTACGCGACTTTTCTCTGCTAGAAGGTCTGCAGTTTCTTCAGACCTCCTCTGCAATGAATTTAGTATAATAAATTTTATTTAAACTGGTTCCTGTGTGAAAAGAACTTTGTTTGGTAATATTGTCGTACAAGTGCCTCGTTCGCTAAGCGAATTTCTTCCTGATACTGCAAAAGACGCTGCTCCATGGCTGCTTTCTCCCGTTCCGCTGCTTCTCTGAGTTGTTTCTCTCGTGCCAATTTGTTTCTTTCAATTTGCCTCCTAATTAAAGGATAACGTTACACAGAAGGAATTATAAAGCATTAAAAATATAATAAAGTAATTGACATAGTAATAATTACTTATCTATCGAAATGCCTTTTTGAAAAAGCAGTGTAGTTTCCTCTGTGAGTATTTAAATAAGCATACTAACCTGGTTAAACATTTGCATAATTATTCTTAGACTTTGCATCCTATAGAATCATTTTTAAATGTTATTAAAGCATTTAGTAAACAAATTATAAACTTTTTTAGAATAATTATAGCGAAGTTTTAGTTAAAAAAAAGAATTGTTCAAACAACGTTCCACAGAACTTAAGTATATTTAAAAGCTTACCTTGACTTTTCTTCTTTGGCCTGTGCTTTCATCTGCTGCACCTCCATGGAATCTGTCTTGCGTCTCCTCATAAACAGATCGTGGTTGCCGATACACAGGTCCAGGGTCTTAACAAATAATATGTGAGCAGCGTTGTCGTTGTTATGTTCGTCCAATCCTAAAGCTATCAAACCCTTCACCCAGCTGCCAACATCTGACTGTTTTTTTACCAGTTTATTCATGCGAACTTTCTGCGAGAAGAACACGAAGTTCGGCGATGCTTTCTCCACCGGTTTTATTACGAACTTCTTGTCATCGAAGCTAATGTGCCGTATCTCCGACCACGCGAAAGTAGTTTTCGGCGCCAGCTTGTTCTCCTTCTCGTAAATGTTCAATCCCAGGGCTGTTACTCCCAGCCAAAGATCAGTCTCTTTCTTGTTCTAAAATTTAACACCATTTGCAACACTGAATAGATTTACTTGAACAATAAAAAAGTATTTTATACATATGTATCAAATACTTACACTAATAGGGAAATAATTTACACCATACATGTCGAGATCTTGAGCAATTTTAAGGTACTCCATCTCTGCCTCATCCCTGGACATCCCACGATGATCGTCATACCAAATTTTTATCCTATCCTCCCACATTTCTGGGGTCATCTGATACTGATCAATAACTCTTTGTGGCAGTAAGTCTTCACTAGCAAGCATTCCTGGACGGTATGATACTTCATCATAGTCTCCATACTGTAATTTTCATGAGATTAGTATTAAGGAAAGACATTTTCTTGAAAAACAAAGCTACCTTAGCTTGAACTGCATAAGAAGCTAACAATACAGATGCTTCTGGTGGACAATAAATGTCCATAGAAAGAATGGCTTGTTTCACTTGGAGAAAGAACAAGTGCTGTGTTACTTCTTGCACCAATTCTTCAGCAACATCTTCTGGATAAAACTTTGCCAGAAACATGAAAGGGGTTGTGGGTTGTTGTGAAATACATTGATCTTGTACTGAAATAATATTAATTCATTAACTTTGTGAAATAAAATACTTCTGATGTGACAAAGTTCATAATTTACCCTTTTTGTCTAATTTTAACCAGGATATGAAACCTTTAGTGTCTTCATACTGAAGTCCAAAATACCAGGTCTCTCTCAATCCTATTGTACGGCAGACTAAGTCAAACAGATCCCTTCCCGTCGATCTCCACTGTAAATATAACAGATTTAAAATAGATGTTTACATAATATTTGACAGCAGCGCAATCGTCGAGCAATGGAAGGAGAAACTAACCTCCAAACTGAATTCCAGCTCCGCGTCCAGCGTACAGACTTTAACGGGGAAAGATTTTCCGGACTTTTTCCTTCGAAATGGTGGCATTTTACTCCTCATTATGTTCACTCAACATCACGAAAGAGAAGGGTAATCAATATCGCAAAAAAATGGAGGAAAAAAAAATGAAAGCTTCTAAGATCACATTGCATCGAGAGACCAAGCTCATACTGTTAGATGTTTACATTTTGCTAGAAAAGCACAGATTAGAATCAAATGATAGATAACCTTACCTACGCATTCGCAACATATTGACGAAATACATTGACACACGTAATAACGATTTGATCGGCTCGATCCCCGTCAAAGAGCATAACAATCGAAACCGAAACTTTCCTCGTTAAATCACATCGTGTTGCCCTATTTTACAAAGCTTTATTTCCGGAGAAAAAGAACAAAGTCGAGTTGAAGAAACGTAAACCGATCCCTCCGCGTTTCGAAACAGTTTATTCTACCAATTTCAGCCAATTCGAGTAACTTCGCTTCCAACAGTGATTATACTGTTAATATAGACATTCGAACGCTTTGTTTTTCGACAGTTCAAAATCTACAACATCGATAGATCGGTAATAGAATTTTGTTTTACTCTAGTGATCTATAATTTTAATTCATATGAGGAAAATTTTGAAATGAACTCTAATATTGTATAAAATGCAAAAAAAGAAGGCAATTATGGTATAATTTTTATATAATTTCCCTTATTTCTGAAGGAATTTGCATTATCGACAGCATGCAAGATCGGTCTAACAGTGTGACAAACCGTAAAGTAAAAAAACAAAAAGCAACTAGTTTTGCGCGTGAAAGTAACTGTCGTTGATTCCAAAAATTGTTGTGCGGTGATTGTGAAATATAATTTGAGAAATTTTATAATTTCTGATTAATTAATGTTACAATAAATAATCGGATATTTTCTCGTAAGTTGTTAGAAGATCATAAAGAGAATGAGAACGTAATTAGAACGAACCGCTTCTTAAAATAAACTCTGTTATATTACTGGTCATATTTCATAATTCTATGTTACCGATAGTTTTCAAATGCAATCATAACTGGACTGACAAAGTACATATACACTGAGTACTAATTTACTTCAAGAACTAGTTCTGAGTTTTTAATGGTACTCATTAATGCAACAAATGTTAGTATATAATAATATCAGAACAAACAAGACTATAGTAATTTCATTTTATAATGCAATTATTATGTTTTTACTGCGCCATGTAATTTTCTATATTGGTCCAATAATCGATTATGATTACATTTTATCATTTCTGCAATTCTATTCGCGTTGTCGGTGTGATAAAAGCGCTAAAGGTACATTCTAATTATGAATGCAACTTCTATTTGCTCTAACAAAAAGAACAAAAGTACGCACGAGACCGAGGCAGTGAAAGGTGAATGAAAGTAAGGAATAGAGTCGAATAACCAAGTCAGGACTATTTATTGTCTATTTTGTGATAAATTGCACGAAAAAGCATCACACGTCGCCGGGCGAAAACGTCTTGAGATATTTATTCACTCGCGTTCAAATGATTTTTGCGGATCGCGCGCCATTACATACAGATCAGCCATTTAGAATTTGATAGTATCGATTCGATACAGATGCAAATGATCAAACACTGCAATAATCAAATTATTTGCATTTTTCTGCTAAATTTAATCGTTTTTCTTCATATTATACGAAAATTATATTATTTCGTATTATAACTGCATTAAATTATTTTGTTTTTAAATGTGCATCGGAGAAACTAGAGAATATCAAACATTTTATAACTTCCGTGAGGCTTTAACGCTTACGTGCATCTGCCTTGACCAAGGACTCGGCTATTAATTGCAATAATCGCCAGGGAAAGAAGAAAAGAAAATTACGGGATCATCGAGAATCTGACAGTTCTGTCAATATCACTTTCTCGATCTTTCATTCGATAATTTTATGTCCCTTCTTCTGTCACTTTACGCGAGTAGCGACTAAATCAAACGTAGTTGAAATGCTCCTATATATAGAAATATTTATAGAGCTGACAATGTTTATGAAGAAACTTAAACGTGGAGGCGACAATGTTCCAAGTGATAATATTATATACAAAAATATTCCTAGCTACTATACTAATATTCCGGGTAACTATATGATATACAAAAATATTCTTGGCGATTATACTATACACATTAATATTCCAAATGACTATACCATATAAAACATACTCCAGATGACTATATCATACTCAAAAAATGTCGTATGCAACTACATTCCAAAAGTTTTCCATTTTAGACTGACTATACATTTTCATATTTTAGCAATTACATACATTCGTCTTAATGAAAATAGCCTGTCGTATGCACCGCTAATGCATATTTTTCATCGAATATTTCATTTACATTTTACGCACTGTTTCTCTCGTTCTATACATAGAGTATCTCAGTAATCATAATACAATTAGCACGAAAACTGTCAACTCCATCATAATAAAATAATATAACAATTTTACGCTTATGCAATGAATATTCAAAGTCCATTTTTTCGAAAATGAAGCTTCATATGTAGCAATTTTTATTCTATACTCTCAATTAATTTCTTCATAAGGAATCACCCCATGACACCCTATATATGTAATGTACTCCAATAAATTGTTCATTTCCCCTTCTTCTTTCAGATGATTTTGTTGTGCGGAAAATATCGGTTACGATGACTTCAAGTCGGATGCTGTCCATGGGATGTTTAAGGTGATCGTGGTAGCTCTCTTCGAGCTCCTTTGATGCGTGGGGATAACTGGAGCTACCAGTTAAGTCAAGTGTATCGCGTCGGGACGAAGTAGTACACTGTTTCTTTCCGGAGTGCGTGCATCGGATCGAGGTTCTAGAGGATTGGTAGCCGTATAGAAGAATAGAGAGATTGAACATCCTGGAAGTCTAGGGTGGGCAGGAACTACTGTTCAACGACTCGTAAATTCGATATACAAAAGACATGAAACTCCGTTGTTTTGTAAGTTTTCTTCCTTCTTGACACTACCCAGATTCTTTTAATTCTTTAATAAACTTTGCACGAAAATAATTATCCTCATAGATTTCCAACATTCGTTTTATATTTTATTCAGTTGAAAAAGAAATTGACAATTTCGAAAACTGTTAGGTAGCTTTTAAGAAGTTTCTGTCCCAATCGTTTATTAAAGTTGTCAATTTTTGTCTTTTGGCAAAGACAATGCTGAATGATAATTCTTCTGTAAAATTTATGGAAGAGTTAGAAGAATTTCAATAGTATTACAGTACACTGTAATTACACATAAGCTTATGCAATTAATGTAATCATTTGCTGCTAGAGAGTGATTAAATTTGCAATGCAATTCCACTGGAAGAATCGAAAGTAAATGTAATAATGCAATTCTGAAATAGTGATAATATGATTCACTGTGTTAATGAGTTTTATGTAGAGTAACATTTCTTCTATTATACTCTTCACGTTGCTCATTGAGGAGATAATTCTTCCCAGTGACACAGCTCTTCCATATGCATAATTTATCGAACATTCATTCTCTTTTTTTTTTTCGTGTAAACGATAAATGTCATCCTCTTCATCAGGAAGATCCTCTTCGAGCAGGAAGTCAGAAAATCACCACACTTAACATAATCCTTGCCATAAAGTGTAATATCGACGCGACGTGTTAAAAAATGAAGAGGAAATCGTGTAATTTATATATCACGCTCAGGCCTCAGTTTTACACTTTTTATCAAGTTTAATAGGAAGCTAATTATACTTATATTATTTTTCATGCTTAGAGTTTTATCTTTCTTTCCCTCTACGAGAGAAAAGAAAAGATTTATAGTAAGTAAAAAAAATTGTTCTTTTTTGTAGGTGACAGCGGTTATATGGGTAGCGACCGTCACAGCGACATTGGAATCCAATTCTCATGGAAACTGGAGCAACGAAAAGGTAAATACTCGACGAACTTTTTCCTGTATCATAATACACGCGGGCGATTTGCAAATATTCCCAAGGGATTTCATTTTCCCAGCTTCTATTCTAATTGCTCATTGAAGTTATTTTGCATTGTACCATGTTGCAGAGCTTGGCAATCAGATAAAATTTCCCCTTTCTTCTTTCTAAATTTAGCAATTCATTTCTATGATTTTTCAATAAAATTATGGCTCCTGTAAAGTTTGCGCAGAATCCTCATTTTCCAGGTATTTAAAATTAAAATTTTAACATTTTCTCGTTACTTTTTTTTTACAAGAGCTTTAATCATATTTTTCTCTTCCGTACATTTGAAATTTTCATTTAATTTTCTCTGCTATAAAAAAACAGAATTCGTATAAGCATCGAAGAATTCAGATTAGATAACAGCTCCATGCAATCCATGAGAAAAATTTCAATCTGCAATCGAGAGAAACGGTGTGCCGAGGTCGTATGAGAGTATGTCCTCTTCAAGGAATTCGTTTAACCGTTCATTTTCCATCCCCCTTCGATGATCCGCGTCGTTTGGAGCTACATAGAAAGTTTCCTTCACCTATCGACTCACTATGATGTTAATATATCGCTACCATCGCTCATAAAGTCACTTTAAGGAAGCAGAGACTGACTACTAATTTCCTTATGCTACTTTTGTTAGTCAACATACTAACCACGAGGAAACAATTTTATAAATGAAAATCAATATCCATAACCAACTAGATGTATCAATTAATTTTACAAGTCATGTAATTTAATGAAAGTCAATCAAAAATTGTCTGAAAAGTTTGTATTTGAAAGATCAAAAAAGAGAAAAATAGGTTAGGTTACTTTTAACACCTTTACAGAGTCTAAGATTAAGGGTTTCACTGTTTACAAAGATTTCATAAATTATCCAAAAAATATTTCATTATGATATTTCTCAAAGAAGAAAAGAAGCATGGGCAGTTCCATTGTGCACCAAAGTTTCATAAGCCGCAGAAGATCTACGCAGTTGCCCTTAAGAATGCGCCGGAAGTTACTTTCGACGCGATACAAACAATGCAGAACAAGTTTCGTTGCCTTACGTAAAACGGGGAGAACCTTTCACGCGTAACCCCCGCGGACTGATAGCCACCGTGCGGAGACATCATTAACCTTCGGGCATAGAAATCTTTTAACCTCGATCTACTTGTTCGAGTGCCACTTTATGTACAACTGCGATGACACCCGCCTCTACTATGTCGCTACAACTGCGTCCATTGGCTTCTTTGACTCATTTTAATACAGACAATTACTCACTACATCTTTTAAAAGTTATCATAGCTATTGTCAAGACAATGGAAGCTTCATGAACTTAATTGGAAAAGTGTGCATATATAGGGTATTTAAAAAAAATATTAACACTTGTATACATGTTACTCTTTCATACAAACTTAAAATACAATCTATTATATTGACAAATGTATTTCTTCTTCCAAAAGCCTTCACATGTTCACCATTTCTTTGGCAAGGAGAAGAAAATATATAGGTATATGTACAAATTCTCCATATAAGTGTTAACACGTTTTTAAAGCACTCTATATTATATATTTTATTTTGAAACTTTCGGGGGTACAATTATTATTATAAAGGAGAAGAGACTTTATATGCATGAGCTTTAAAGTGTCCATGTATGTAGGAAAAACATGTTCCACCTATTTCCTTAGTGATTGTTCAGTATTTGGTATGAAGGTGTGAAAGAAAATCATAAATTCTACAAACAATAATTAATATGTGATGTTAAAATTCTTTACTTCTCAGATTCTTCTGATGTTCAATATTTAATTCTTGTAGAGTACAGGACCAAGTACGGAAGTCCCATTTTCTCTCTGTAATCGGTTCGAACCACAGTTCATTGGTTTTGAACACGGACAGACTTCCAGCCAACCTTCATCCGCAAGTTTTAGATGAAAGTCGTCCTTAACCTTCGCATGTTGCCTAGGTCATTTCACTCGCGTCTCGTTCTCTTCCGACAAGCTCATCTAACAAAGTGTAGCCTACACTTTCCCCTTGTAGCTCTACTCAGAAACGTTTACCCAACCACTAGAGTGTAATTACACGCTTCGAGAAACGTCCACAATATGTACTTCTTCTTTACTTATGAGGAAGAATTTTAATATGTCCAAAATCATTCAATTTTAGAAATTAAAACATACTTATGCATAATTATGCTACTTGTTACCTGTAATAGGTAATTATGTACCTGTAATGTAATTATTTTATTAACTTTCATATCCTGTGGATTATTTCATTTATATTTTAGGGGTTATTATACTGATGTCATGACTTATTTACATTATTTTATTAATTTTAATATTCTGTGATACTATAATTCATTAATATCTGAATCTTATTTTTTAAAATTCTGTTACAGTGATTATTTATTCAGGAATATTAAGTACATATCATTATTCCTTCACCTTGTTGAACTATTGGCAAACACTGAGTACTTTTGATAAAGGCGCGAATATTTTGCAGCAATACTACTTTCTTTTCAAATGTAACTCTGTATAGGTCACTTGCAGCAGCTTTTGGTCAACGTGAAATGTAATCTCCCGTAATTGGGGTTTGCTATCTAGCATGGTTCACAAGGAGAGGGATGTTACTGAATCGTTAATTGCTAGAAATCATAATTAATACTTTACATTAGTTACAACCAGAATAAAAAACAAAATATTTCTCATAAAAGTCAGGAGAAAGCTTATGATAGCATTCGTTTCACTTTTTCATCTTCATTTCATTTTCTATTAATATGTAGTACTTGTGAATGATTATGTAATTGAGCATGTGAATTTCTTAAATATCACGATTCTAAGATTTTCAAAGTAGTTTCAGCAACGATTGATCCTCCAGAGGCATGAAAGAATTTATAACAAACAAAAACTGCGAATACTTTCTCCACGCACTTTCGGATGAAAGACGGGGTTGACCCACCTACTGTCAAAAATTCAACGCGATCGACTCTGTTGGTTCCCTTTCTCTTTCTCTGCTTCTCCTCCTCCTCCACAAGGTAACATATTCTCCCATAACTTTGTTTACACCTTCTCTGTTCCGATTCGTCCTTTATTTGTATTAAAGCAACTCTTTGGTATAATCTTTGGCTCAGATTTTTATTTTCCATTGCTTACTTGTAAAATATTACATTTGGTAATAGAAAAGTGAATTTGAATTTCTTGAAATTTGTTTTAAGGAATTTTCATTGGAATTGCCGAGCACAAAAGGAAGTTCAAATCCCTGACAAAGACATTGACTCTGGTAGCACTATTTTTTCCAACCAGCCATAAAATAGTGAAAGTGCTATCCCTTGTCCGTCACGTGACTCAAAAGAATGCTGCAAGAAGAATTTTACACACGTTACTGCACCATAACAACAATCTCTTTAATTCACCAGCTCATTGTTACTCTCCTTCAATCTTAATGAAAGAGAATTTAGTGTTCATTTATTCTAAATCATTAGACTGAATGGTACAACTTCTCTCTTTAGCTAACCTATGTTAGCGTGAATTTCTTTAGTGACGGAAAAATATGCAAATAAGAAGATTCAGAGTTCACTTAAGACTCTGATCCATTGATTTCTCGTTTTTACTGACACAGAGCTATTCAATAATTATATCCAATATTCTGAGCTTTGAAGAACAAGTGAAAACAGCTTTGACACCATCTGAAGGATCTCCTTTTGAGGAGAAAAACCTCAAAGTATTGCCAAGGACTAGCAGCGAGTTTCTCCACTGGTTATTTCCAACAATTATCAAACTGGTTCTCTGGAAAATTCATTGAGACCCATCAATCACCATGAACAATTCAGAAGAACCAGTAAATTGTGTATAATTATTTTAAACAGTATATAACACTGAAAGCAGTAAAATTTTACTATCTGACTAAATTGTAAGTTAATGGTTCCTTTGAACTATTTTCAGATGTAGCAAATGATAGTACATCAGGGTAGATATGGAGGAAAAAAGGGTGGGACGGTCATAAGTGAATTTGGAACACTGTAATTTCTTGGTAGAGCATTTAAACGTGATCCTGGCCAAAACAGTTTGCTTTTAATAAGACCCTGAGCCGGTGCACGACTCTCACTGGTTTTTCTTTTGCGTGAACTGCAAGAATGCGGCGCGCATCTTTTCCCGTTTCGCCTTTCTTCTTGCTCGAACTGCATGGGAGAAAGGGAGACTAGCAGTGGTACCGTAAGTCCACCTTTCTCTTATCTCGCATCGCCAGCTGCGTTATTTTCAGCCTCCGCTTGCTTGACGGTACTCCACTTAAAGCAGACTTCACGTAACGGATATCAATGACCACTATAGAGTCCTCTTCTATTCACCATAAACTTCAGAAAGTTTAATATTCAATCAATTAACAGGTAAATTAACTTCAGAGGAATATTTGACATTTTTTCTGCAAGTCAAAGTCATTTAACATATTGAAGAAAAAAATGTGTTGAATTTTACCAAGGATTCTTTGGCAAGGATCATAGAATGGCAAATGGTCACATGAATTTCTCCAGGCCTATTATTTTTACCAAAACCACCATCACCGATTTTCTACTCTCGTTTGAACCAGCAGTTTCATTTCTACATAGAGTTTCTTCGTGATCTGTTTTCTACTTCTACTTAGGATGAATTGGGTCAGACGCTCGGCCTCGCCCACTGGCTGGTATCTCGATGACTGGTACAGCCTGTCTGTGCAGCACGGAGCGTCACTGCCTTGACTGGAAGTTCCTTTGGCTCTTTTTCTGGCAGTAGAAAAACGTCTTCTAATTTTCATTCCAACCATATTACCACTGTCTTCTAACTTTTTAAAATTTTTCTGAATTATACTCTAAAGGAGCAATTTTCTTTTTGCAGGAAGTCTTAAAGCTGAACTATGAACATGAAGTATCTACCATCCAGGCAAAAGAAGAAATAAAAAAATATCAATCCGAGGACCAGTCATCGGCAACAACAAATCAACATGAAAGAACCTTCAATTCCTCTCAAACTGATAAATCCGCTAAAGAAGAAAACGCAGAGACATTCGCTGTGAGATTCATTAGCAAAAATAAAAATAATTTTGTAGTGGTTGGTATCAGTTGAAGCATGAAAATTAGTTGTGTGGAGATTCCTTGTTTAAATGGCTGTATCTCTGGCTAATCGATTACTCTCGGAGATTTCCTCGCTTTCCCTTCCTGATTGCTGGAAAGTAATTCACTTTCAGTGCCACAAGCACTGACTAATCAGATATTGAAAAATATCTGAGTCATTTTACTGGTAATAGTTGAAGCTGTCATAAGTTTATGGGGGATTAGGATTATTATTTTCAACAAGTCAAAATAGAGGAAGTAGTTTCTCTATTGTGCGTGTAATTTGTACCTAGAAATTCATACATTGCGTATTTTACACATTTCCATTGCCCATAATTTTCTGACGAGTGCTTTCACTGAAGCGTAAAAGGAAACGACAGCGATAATACTACGCTGTCCATCATGCAAATAAATGCCTATTCTTTTGTGTATAAACACGTGTAATTCACAGATCAAATTTTTAATTTACCATCTTTTTTTCCAGAATGAACTTCAACAACAATTTTCTAAGCAAATAGTCCAACCATACGTCTTGCCTTTGAAACGAAAAAATATTGAAGAAGATGAGTCAATTGATGATACTTTAAAGTTAGAAAGAGTCAATCAGAATGCAACAGTTGAGTACATTCCTTCTCAAGAAATTACAGTGCAGGGTTCGAGCACAACCACCAAGTACATCCCCCTTCATGAAAACAGTTCCAACGACTTGGGTCAGTCATCGATTTCTGAAGAAATACCGGGTATTGAAAGCATAGGTGACTTTGGTCAACGAGTTCGTTCTTCGTCTATATTCAGACAGAGAAGCAATGAGAATCGTGGACGATTTAGACCAAGACAATCTCTTTTTGATGACTCTTCATCATCTGAGGATTACAGAAAACAACATGGAAAAAATTTTCAGTCTTATGCATTCAAGAAACTGAATGCTTCTGATGATCAGTTTAATATATTTTCAAAAGCGCGACTTCCTTTTACACTGACAAAGGCTATAGAATCACAGAGGATCTTGAAACAGAAGGAAATTGAAGAAGAGTATAGTGATAGAGTATCGACAACTACTTCTACTCCTGTGGTATCAGTTTTCTTGGGCAAATTTTCTGGGCCAATTGTGGTCCCAGATTTGCCACATCAGAAGTACTCTCACACTACTATAAGCGATTATACTGAGAGTAATGAGGTGTCAAAGCCAATTCCAGCATCAGTGGAGGTACAGAAAAAGCTAGAGGATAGCTACTTGGTAACGTCACCACTGGTTCTAAACCCTCTCCAAGTTGGTGTTGCTCTTATGAATGCAGGACAGGACTTGAATTTGGATAATGATCAGAGTATTTTGACAAAAGAATACTCTCAGGATGAGAGTATCACAGAACAGGTCAGTGACATTGATAATGAGAGCCTACTTCAGAGTGATGCACCAGATTCGGGGAATTCCAGCTTTCAAAGTGACCAGGTGTCACAGCAGGAGCAGATCTCTGAAGTAGTGGCTCAAAATTCTCCCACACAGTCAGTGGAGATCCAGAAATCTGTAGAAATATTTCACACAGCACCCGTACAGGAGATTCACTATCCTGTAGAGTTTGTTCCCCATGTTCAGCAACCCCTGATGAAACAACATGTCCAAGAAGACTACAGAAAATCATTAAGGGGTCAATGTAAAGATCAAAGACCAAATCAGATCAATGTCTACAGAACTAACGAAATTGTAGATGAAGGTCTTTCTTCTAATAGCCAAGAACCCAGTCGTTACGAGTATAATGTGAATGAGAATGACATTATCTATTCAGGAAGCAGTGGTCAGGTTGATCAGACATTGACTGTGGCTCGTCCTGTTGATAATAAACCAATTTTTGGAGTTAAGGAGCAAGTAGACAGTACACATTATGATAAGATAATAGCCAAACACTCCGAAGTTCAAGGAATTCCTGAAACTAGCATCAAGCAGAGTGACTATGAGCTACCACAGAGTTCATCTTTAATTACTGTACAACCAGCCAGAGTGATAGACAGTCTACCAAGTTTGGTGAATGTAGAGAACCTTCAAGGGACCCAAGAAACGTCTCAAATTATTCTAGCGAAGGTTACCAGCGAACCTCCATCTGAATTGAGGCTTTTGATGTCAACTCCACAGCCTTATTCTGCAGAGAAGAGTGTCCACCTACCTCATTCAATAGACATGGTTGAAAAAAAAGTGCCATTTCTGGTGGAGAAAGTGATAGAGAAGCAGATAACCATTCCTCAACCTTATCCTGTACATGTACCCATAGACAGAGTAGTGGAAAAGCAAATTAGAATTCCTTATCCTGTGCATGTGGAGAAGGTAATTGAGAAAAAAGTACCATTTGCCATTCAGAGGTTTATTATACCCCTACCAATACACTTCAGGCTCCCTCAACCAATTCCTGTTCCAGTGGAGAAGGTGGTGGAGAAGCCTGTGTCTATTCCTGTTTCAGTAGAAAAGGTTGTTGAAAAAACAGTGCATGGTATAGCTAGACCATATCCTTTGGAAGTTGAAAAAAGACCATATGCCTTAGGAACTACTAAACTTGTAAAGTCAGCTCTAATTTATAATGTCCAGAACGAAGGAAATTATCAACAGATGATCAGACAGAACTACCAGGCTCCATTGGGACCACCATATGGATCTGACAATGATCAAGGATACTATAATTCTACAACACAGTTCTATGGACCAGGTTACTTGGCTCTAAATCGTCTCCCTGTTAGACAACCATTGATACACACGTTGCCCAAGAAATTTGGGTCTTATGGGAGTCAGTATCCCCATTCAGTGACACACTCATTGAATAATAATAATGGTAACCCTGTGCTTTATGGAAGAACATCTGTAGAGAAGGATAAGGTTAAGGATGAATACATAGGACCTGTGCCAAGAAAAGCTCAAGCTTCAATTGGAATACAGTCTAAATCTTTGTATTCATCACCTGATCTTCCAGCAACTTTAAGAAGAACGAGGCAAGAGGTTGGCAACACTGGTAGCTTTAGACAATCCAAGATGGAATATGGATTCAAACCTCCAATGGTGCCTTCTGTGCAATATGATGAACAAACAGCCACTAAAGTGGAGTAATTTGGATGTATTAGAATTTGTTTTTCAATTTTATGATGAAAAATTATGAAATATTTCATTATTTATAGGAACTTTTAAGTTTCAATGTGGAACTTGATTGGAGTATTTTAATTGATTCCATTTTTTGAAAATGAAATTTAATTTTTTTGAAAGAAATAGGGATATGCGGGTTTCTAATGCCCTACAACTCTCCCCTTTTAGTTGTCTCTTACAACAAGCAGGGGGTACTGTGAGTGCATTCTCTCTCAAAGCGGCACCCATCTCTTACTTCATTAATAAAACAAGCATAACATTGAAAAGCGTCATAAAATTTTACTCTTCAATGCTCTACATTCATCAGTTGATCGCAAATTTGAATTTCATCTTCATTAATGCAATGTAAATAATAAAAATGTAGAATAATAAGAATTATATTTATTGTGAATTGAAATACATTTTGAAAAATGTCTTGCAGAACAGATAATTCAACGAAATAAAGACTGATACATAGCATAATGATAGAAATTAATGTACTCAATTTTCAATGCATGTCAGAATTTTATAAATTCTTACAATGCCATTCCAGTCAAATTTTATTTTTTTTCTACTTAAAAAAATCAACTTAAGACCTGTTTGACTCAAATAATGTACTTTTAAGCAAAATATTATCTTGTTTTTTTTTTTGTAACATTGTAACATTGAATAAAGTTATTCTTTTCTTATTAGATGCAGGCTGTTATTTTTAATTGCTACCCGTTTTAATTCCTGCATCAATCTATTTATATACGTGAAAGAAATGGATAGTAGTAAAATTCAGTATTTATTCTTGGACGGTACCTGTTTAATTGTTCGGACAATATATTAACAATCGTCATATCTCGTCGGGTTGATAAAAAAAAATACAGAAAATACTGATACAGTTATAATAATAATAATAATAATAATATTAGGACACTCTGGAGTCCCGCCCAGGAGATATTGTCGATTCTTGATGATGATGCGCATTAATTTACCTATACGCACATACATACATACATGCGCACATACATGTGTACATACATGCATACTCATGCATACTTAATGCGTACATATACACGCGTGCATATATACGTACATACATACGCGACGTACATGCATACATGCGTATATACATATATACATACGTACATACATATGTACGTACGTACATACATACATACGCACGTACATATATATATATATAGATTTCTTTATTTATATAACTTTATGTATAAACTTGTAAAGAAGGTAGGTCAGTGCCGCTCATTATCTTCGTTGATTTGTAAAACCTATGTACAACGCTTGTTTTATAATTACATTAGAAAACAAAAGAAAACAATGATTGTACAGTAGAAGCTTGATTAACTAATAATCACTGTGAGAAGCTTTTTACCCTAATCGATTAACAAAATACATGGTACTACTATATTACACTCTGTAAAATAGATTGCAAATTGATAAATTTTATTTGAAATATATATTTATATATCAGGTTGATGAATGTTGGTGAAGAAAAAAAAGTCACTGATCCAGCGTAGAGTTAACAATCTGTATAATTTGATACGCAACATACAACAACAAAACTGCATAATTCCAATGTTACAGAATCTTATAAAATACTTTCTTCTCTCTCTCTCTCTCTCTCTCTCTCTCTCTCACTCTCTGTGGTAATCTTTCCTAACTATAATCGAGATTCTACTGTACCGAATAATAATAATAATAAATCTTTAAAAAGAGAAAAATAAAAAGAAAAAAGATTCCCCTCTCCCTCTCTCTCTCTCTCTCTCTCTCTCTCTCACTCATGTTTGGGACGTACACGCAAAAAAAAAATACGGGTACGCTTTGTTCGTTCGATATATAGATCACCTTGCATACTCGACCCAATTTGTAAATTTTTTTATGATCACAGCTACTACGGAAAAAAAACTGTACACTGACGTTCCCCGCGCATAGTCTAGAAAAAAAAATGTACAAATGCATATAACAATGCTCATGTGTGGCCGAGCAAGCTTAAAAAAAGAAGGAAAAAGAGAGAAAACGTTATTTATTCTCCCTTAAAAAGAGATATGTTTTAGTCTCTCCTTTTTCTTTTTTCCGCGAAGTAAAACGCTTTCGCGAGATGACTCGCTCCCATCGAGGCCTGGTTCCCTGACAGTACAGTCCCATAAAAATTCATCTCGAGCTGCCATCAAGAAAAGTATGGAATGTTTTGCTTCATTTATGGTACATGGACAAAGTGAAAATTAATATTTTGCGATAATCGTATTTACAAGACTTACAAATCGCACCTAAGATGACACAAACTCGTCATTGGTTGCACTTCAGTCTCAACTTGAATCAAAAGTAGAAAATCTATTTTATTTTTCTTCAGATTGTTAATATAAAAAATTTTCTTCCAATTTAAGATTTCTCGGTCGTTTCAAATACTTATTCTGATCTGATTGAGCTTCAGAATTAAAATATGTGAATTGTAGTGAGACAGAAGTGTCACAGATACGAGAGCATCCCTACGTAGACGCAGTGGCGTAGTCAGATGCATTTTCTGAACCTCCATTCTTCTCCTGAACTCATTGAAAACAGGTTAGAAAATATGTACCGCTAAAACACATTCATAATTTCATCGCAAAGGTTTCATAGTAATACGACATATTTAGTTTGGTGTTTAATCCGGAAGTCTTCCATTGCGCTTTATTTCCTCCCAGAATTTTACTCAGTCTTGTGCTCCGTTAAAAATCTTCTTGGTCGAATCTAAATATACTTATGTGTGCGTCTGAGAAGCATAAAAAAGTCCTGTGCCGAGGAACAGCACAGTTTTCGAACTGTCAGAATTTATAAAAGATTACTATTAATTAAACAACTACGCTTTAAAAAAATGAAACAACGACACGTTTATAAGACTAACAAGTAACAATTGCAACGAACTTGCGAATAAATCATTCATTAAAATTGCTAAAAAATATATATATATATATAATAAGATCCTGCCACTTTTCTTCCTCCAAATAACCTAAAAACTTCTAACTACGTCACTGCACGAAAGAGTTAAACTATCTAGCACTCGGACTTGTCCTCCTCGACCAACTGCTGCGTGTCCTTCCCCGAATCAATAGGCGTCGGATCGAGTTCTCTTCTCTTCAGGTGCAACTGCGGTGGTTCCTTATGCTGGATGCTGGATGGTTTCATCTCAGCCGGCAATTCATACATGCTGCTAGCGCCAGTGCCGTTTGTGGCACCAGTTTCTGTGTTCACCGCGTCGTACATGGGGTTACTGAAGTCCCTATTCTTGTTGCTCACGTCACCAAGATTGTACTCCACGTCTAATGGTTCCTATTTAACAAGCACCATTGCATTTGTAAATAAAATACTAGTTGTTAGTTCTAAAAGTTATATCAGGTTAAGTGAAACATTGCTTTAAAGTTTGAAAAATAGTAAAGAACTCCTACGTACCATTCTTTCATGAGCAGGTACACCAAACTCTACATTGCTCCCTTGTCTAAAGGATACGCTCTGAGCACCAGTCAAACTGCCAAGGCCTCCAGGTTTTCCACTACCAGAAACAAACCATTATTCAAATTATAAAATCAAACAGACAAAAAATTGACCTTAAAAATTAGGTTAGATGACTTACAATGGTCGTTTTTTGAGCACCATAATGACAGCAGCAGCTCCAAGGAGGACCAGGACAGAGATAACAATGGGGATCACTATAGCAGCAGTGGCGTTACTAGACCTGACACCCACCATAACCTCACAGAACTCTCCATGGAAGGGAACGGGACAGTCGCATTGCAACTTACTATCCTCGGCTTCCTGACATAGTCCACCATTCCTGCAGGGGCAGATCCTGGGTGCAGGAAGTGGTCTCTCGTTTGTAGCGTCGCAATGGCGTTCATTGGACCGTATAGTTTCCCTCTGTTGAAGCGGACCTATACTATCCGAGCACAGACATCTATTTCCACCAGGGATTGGTACACACAAGTGGGTGCACTGGTCTTCATGACAAAGGTTCCTCAAAGAAATGTTGTATCTTTGTTGATGGTACACTTTGATACCTCCTGAGTGTGGTATATGCTTGACAATGATTTCTGGCACACCTCTACCGAATTTATCCTGCTTAATTAATTCCCCACTCCTTCTAGTCACCCAATATAAGCTGCTCTCGAAGATGTCCAAAGAAACTGGATGCTTTAGGCTCTCTCCTTTGAGGATTACTTTTCTATTTGATCCATCCTAAAGAAAAATGATTATTCTTAGAGTGAGGATACATTTTTTGGACATAAGCTAAGATAAAGGTGCCTTAAAGGTTACCTGTTCAACAGATTCTATAGTGTTCAGCTTGCTGTCAGCCCAGTAAAGCACATGCTGCATGGAATAGTCAATAGTGAGAGCTATGGGCTGCCCTATTCGGTCAGAGACCAGTTGTTTCCTCCTGTCGCCATCCATCCAAGCAATTTCTATCTTTGGCTCACTTCCTGCATCCGCCCAGATGGCTTTACCTAACTCTGGGTCCACCACAATCGCTGTTGGGATCTCCAACCCCACTGTTATCAAACTACGACGGTATCTACCATCTGCTTTTGACACCATCACTCGTCCAAACGGTGTTGCTCCTGAGGAATCGATCTCTGTCCAGTAGAGATTACCTGAGATCCAGTCTACAGCCAAACTCGTGAGCCCTGACTCACCTTTAACGAAAATAATGGTTTATTTTACATCATATAATCTGTAAACACGTGGATAAGTCTCATAAACGATAATTACTTTTTATATTGAGATTCTGAGCGTATCCAATCTTCACCTGGCCACCTTTAGCGTTCACCATGTATGACCTCTTGATGGAATTGTCATACCCATCGATCCAGAATACGTATTCTGTCTTGGGATCGAAATCTAGAGCCTGTACTCTTTTCTCGTTCGCTATAACCTCCAATTCCTCATTCTCGTGGAGATCGTAGGCCCTAATTCCAGGCCCATTGGCGAATAAGATCATCATGTCGATGTCTATGGCTCTGCAGACGCCACTACGGTTATCAGACAGTTCAAAACCTTGTCTACACGAACAAGTATAGGTGCCATTCAAGTTGGTACAAAGCTGAGAACACTGATGTTGACCAGTGGTGCATTCATCTATGTCCTCACAGTGCTTTCTGTTGTCCTGAGCGATTATATAGCCCGGATAGCAGGCGCAAATGTAGCCACCATCGGTGATGTTGTGGCAATAGTGCGAACAGCCTCCTTTGTTGCTCTCCAAGCAGGGTTTATTGTGATCTATGGAAATAAATGAATATTTAAAGGGGTATGTAACCTTGTCGGCTTCAAAAAATCGAAAACATTTTTTTATCTTCCTTTTAAAGTTTTGCATACTGTGAAGTTTTGTATCTGTGATGTCAAAATACTTTTGAATACTGTGGTAGAAGGGTTTTTTGTAATTTAAAAAATTGACAAAGTTATAGCATTGAAAACGACTGCATGTCATGTCAGTTAAGACGGCCCGATGTGACACTGCTAAAAGGGAAAAATTTCGTTTAATTTCTTGTCATTAATATGACTTTTTAGGTGTGCTTATTGACATAATTTTAAGAAAACTACCTTACCGTACATTTTTAAACTGTATTAACATTATGACGTCCGTACATTTCACTTGAAAATTCGTTGCAGCCGCCGGCGACTCTCACCTAGATCGTACCCCAGCACTTTTCGTTCAGTCTTTTAGAGTGTAGTTATGATACTTTTTTTGAGAAAAAAAAAATGAAGTCATGTCAGCGTGATGCCGGCCGAAAACCGAAAACCGCTCGTCCTGGCGAAGTTACGTATACGTGACAGCGGACGTCAAAGTGTTAACAGAATATATTGGACAATTGCTTCAAAAATAACATTTTATAGCAAAAGAATAGTCAACATTGCGGTATTTATTGGTGCTAGTATTTTTAATGATTATACAAACATTCTATCAATGATGCAACTTATGAATTTAAAGATTGGAAATAATGCACATAATATTTGCGAGGAAATAGACGAACGAGGGCTAAAACATGCAGAGATTCGGGCTTCGGAAAATTCAAAAGAAGCTCGGCAACTGCTAAGAGCAGCTAAGAAACAAGAATCTGATGATTTTTTAGAGACAAAAGGGTCTCTTTATGGATCCGGAATTGCAGATTAAGGGTGAATTTTTAGAAATTTTCATTTATTTCAGAGAAAGATTAACTTAAAACTTTAGATGCGTTCTTTTTTAAACTATGTTTTCCGAACTTGCACCCAGTAGATCTTTGAAATTCTTCATCCGTTTAACTTGAAATTTTTACTATAATGTAGCGTACGATTTTTTTGATGTCTCAATTCGTTGAATTTTTATAAATATTTAAAGTTGATTGTTTTTAGCAAAAACAATAATTTTATCTGTAACAAGTCGCCATTTTCTCATTTTTCAAAATTATTGAAAAATCTTACACTACATTGAAGATAATCTATTTTTGTATAAGTTGTCTCCAAAATTTTTTATTTTTTATATTCCAGTCACTTTTGTCGCTGGGTACAAGCTAACAAGGTTCCGCTGAACATGGAATTAGATAATGTTGTACAACTCTACTATTTTATAATTTTAAAGTAATAAAAAAAATATGAAAATAGAGTTAAGATGTTACTTAACGTTCCCTATAAAAATTTTGTTCTTTTTACCAAATATTTATAGGTGAAAAAGAAATGTTAGATTTCCCCATTCTTTTAGGCTTCCATGGTTGCATACCCTCTTTAATCACTCAAACTACTAATATTAACAAAATCTTGAAACTTACGGCATCCAAGTTCATCAGAGGAGTCTCCACAGTCGTCAGCAAAGTCGCAGAGCTTAGATCTATCGATACACTTCTTGGTGGCGCAAGTATACTCGGTTATGGGGTCACATTGACGCACTTTGGAAGCGCACATGGTCATATTGTTTTCATCAGACCCATCTCCACAGTTGTCGATACCGTCACACAGTTGATACTTGGCGATGCATTTATGGTTAGCGCATTGGAACCTCCTATTTGTGTCACACTTGAAATTTGCTGTAAAATATTACAAAATAATACAAATACCCTCAATTCTAAGAATTTATTTTGATATTTTATGGAAAACTTACCACACATGTTAGGATTCTCATCAGAACCATCACCACAGTCGTCACTTCCATCACAGATGTCCATGAGGTAGACGCAGAGATTATTATCACACTGAAATCTTGATTGTGGACAGTATCTTCCACCTGGATATCTTGGTGGACATCCAATCTCGTCGCTCATGTCTCTGCAGTCCCTTGTGCCATCACATTTCAAATATGATGCTATGCAATGGCCACTTGTACATTGGAATGTATCACCCTGCAATAAAAATGCACTTTCCATAATTAAAATCTATCATAATTATTACATAATTATAATTTAATCTTATGTACCTTGCAGACAAACTCTTGACAGCCATTTTCGTCACTGTTATCTCCACAGTCATCCTCATTGTCACATCTCCATCTGGAGGCTATGCACTTGCCATTACCACACCTAAATTCAGACTCAGAACATTTTCTATAGCGATCCTTGCACATAGCTTCAGCCTCGTCACTGCCGTCCCCACAATCGTCAGCAAAGTCACAGAGCCATTGCTTGGGCACACATCTATTATTGGCACACTTGAAATCCATTTCAGGGTCACATTTGGGACAGTTCTCGGCAAGTTCGTCAGAGCCGTCTCGACAGTCGTCTTTGCCATCACAAAATAGCCATTTTGGTATGCAACGGTAGTTGGCATGACCTGGACACCTCTGCCAACCTGTTGTACAATTTTTCTGACGACACATGTACGCTGGTTCATCGCTGTCGTCGCCACAATCATTATCTGAATCGCACATCCACACTTTCTGGATGCATCTGCCATTTTTGCAGGTGAATTCCGTGTTTGGATCGCATTGTCGATTATCTAAATGAATAAAGTTAAGATAGTTGAATATTCAATAATTTCTATATCATAAATTGGTGTTACTATGACACTTACGACAGATGACTGGATCCTCATCGCTGCCATCTTTGCAATCAGCGTCCCCATCACACTTCCAAGACTCATGGATGCAACGTCCATTGGATTTACACTTAAATTCCAATTCACCACATTCTAGGCTACAGTGAGCTTCATCACTCTTGTCTCCACAGTCATCAGCGCCATCACAAACAGCCACAGTTGGTCTGCAGTTACCATTGGCACACTGGAAGACACTGGGCCTGCAAACTCTTGTTGGACAACTGGCCGGTTCGTCTGAGCCATCTTTGCAATCCTTTTCACCGTCACACCTTAAGAATCAAGAAGTATGGATGAGTGAATGTGTGCTTGCTAATAAATATTCAATAAAATTATAACAAAAAGTAGTACTCTGAGTGTTATACTCACTTCCAGTACCACGGTATACATTTTTCATCAGGAGGACCACAATTATGTTGGCCAGCAGTGCAATTGGCTTTGCAAGTCTTTCCATCCTTCTCCAATATGAACTGATTGGGACATTTGCATTTGTATGAAGTCACTCCAGGTTGACCATAACCTTCTAATAAATAAGAACTAGCTGGTGGAGAAATTAAACAGAGATGAGAGCAACCGCCATTGTTCTCCATACATGGGTTGTTGTAAGGCAATTGTCTGAGAGGATGATACGCGTGGATGTCGTATGGTCTGTGTGTAGTGTTCCTGAGCACTCTCAGAGTGGCTCCAGAAAACTTTTCAGCTCTACTGATGGCCTTTAGGTTCCAATCTGTCCAAAAGATGTAATCGTCGAAGACTGTGATGGCAAAAACGTGGGGCACAGCTGCTCCAGAAAGAACTTTGCGTCTATTGTGACCCTCCAAATCAGCAAATGCTATATAATCCAAGTGAGCATCCGCCCAGAAGATTCTGTCAGTGAAGTAGTCGATGGTTAAAGCGTTTGGCCAAGCAATGTCATCCTCCCAAGTGAGGATCCTTGTGAAATTACTACCATCCATTCCCATTTTACCTATATAAGCCTGCAAATTAAAAACAATTATCATATTAATTATTACAATATGTGGAAGCTGGTTTGAAGTCAATAAAAATTACTTGAAGGTGCCAAGAAGTGAAGTACAGGTACCCTGTACCAGGATGGACAACAATAGCACGTGGATCTGCTATGCCAGTCAACAGAGTCTTCCTATTGGTACCATTTAATTCTGCAACATCCAAGTGTTTGGCATGTCTGTCAAGCCAGTATAATTTTCGACCCACCCAGTCAACTGATATTCCTTCCAAACCAAGGCTATCATGTCTAATAATTGCCTCTTTCTCTCCACCTGCAATGGGTGCTCTGCAAAACATTTTTATGTGAAGAAGTTGACCTAACCAGTTTTGTGTACCATTATTTTCCTAAATAAGATAATTAAATTCACCTGAAGATTGTCTTAGCAGTAACATCACAGAAGTAGAGCATCTGTTCAGAGTAATCAGCATCCAGTGCAACAACATTTATGAGATCCTGATGCATCAGACTGTAATTGGAAGCATCAATGGACATGTTCCTGACATAATACTTATTTGTGAAGATGATCCAGGGTTTAATGTTATCTCTCCTCTTGCAAGTGTGCTCATCAGCAGCACGCTCGTACCAGTAGTGGTTACACTTGCAGTAGAAGCTTCCTGGTGTGTTCTGGCACTGTTGGCTACACACCTGTGGAGTCTCCATACACTCATCTATATCTTCACAGGCTTTACCATCATCTAGAAGTCTGTAACCTGGATTGCATTCGCAATAGTAACTTGTTGGCGTGTCCACACACTTGTGTGCACACTGATTCACTTCTACAAGAATACACTCATCCACGTTACAATGGGCAGGCTCGTCACTCTCATCTGCACAGTCAGGTTCCTTATTGCAGACCAATCGCTGGTCGATACAGCTTCCATTTGCACACATGAATTCTCCTGGATTTGGGCAGGTGGAGTTCTTCATTTTTGGTGCTGTAATTTTGCAAAATAGTTATTTAATAAATTTTTGTGCATTTATAAACTATTTGAAAGAGCAGTGCACTACTCACGACAGCCATCTTCATCTGAATGATCACCACAGTCATCCTGATCATCACAGCGGAACTGTTTCCTGATGCATTTAAAATTATGACAAGTGAATTCCTGGCCAGTGCAAGGCTTGTATCTGGAGTTGCAAAACTTCCCTTCATCACTACCATCTCCACAGTCATTGTCATGATCACAAAGCCAATTCCGATTTAAACAACGTCCATTGTCACAGGTGAACTGATTCTCAGCACAGGGTGTTGGAGTGGGACAGTGATGTAGGGTTACATTCTCATCAGCTCCATCTACACAGTCTGGATCTCCATCACACAACCATTTCTTTGGAATACATTGTGCCCTGTTCCAAACTTTATTCGCAGTACAGGTGAACTCAGTCTCTTCGTCACACTTCCTATCATTGCACTGGTGACGTTCATCCTCATCGGACTGATCCAAGCAGTCATTGTCTCCATCACAAATGTAGATCCTAGGTATACAATTTCCATTATCACAAGTGAACAGGTCGCCAAAGCAAGTTCTGCCTTCTGACTGACAGTAGCCTGGTGGTTCATCACTGCCATCCAGGCAATCATCATCTCCATCACAGTACCAGGTAGCTGGAATACATCTGTGGTTGGGACACCTGAAACTGCTCTGTGGACATGTTCTTTGGGCACAGTGCAATGGGTTCTCATCACTATTGTCTCCACAGTCATTGTCTCCATCACAAAGCCAGTATGGTTCCACACAAATGTTGGTCTTTTCACATTTGAGGTGATTAGGTGGACATGTAGTGTTTCTGGGACAACGTTCATGGGTCTCATCAGAGGTGACATTGTCTTTGCAGTCATTAATACCATTGCAAACCATTGATTGCGGGATACAGCGATAGTTGGCACATGTGAACTCCCCAGCAGCACAAGGGGGATATACACAGCCTTCCTCATCACTGCCATCACGACAATCGTTTTCATGATCACACTTCCAGGTCTTGAAGATACATCTACCATTATTACACCTGAATTCATTAGGACTGCATGAGTGGTAGGAACAATAATTGGTATCTTCATCAGAACCATCACCACAGTCGTCATCACCGTCGCATGCCCACATCCTAGAGATGCAGCGACCGTTCCTACAACCAAATTTACTAGAATCGCAGGTTACGTTCTTAGGAACACACATCCTGTCTTCGTTCACTAGTCTACTGTTGTCGTCACACTTGCATTCTGCTGAGCCATTTATTCCTGGATGACAAGATTGATCGCAGCCACCATTGGAAATATTACAAGGATTCACTTTGCACTGTTGCCTAGCTGCTGAATAAATGTGCAAGTCTCTAGGTGAATCCTCCAATCGTTTAACCAGTTCTACTTTGTTTGCTCCTGTATGCTTCTCAGCACGATAAACTCCTCTCAGCTGAAGATCTGTCCAGTAAATGTGCTCCCTAAAGACTGTTATGGCAAAAGGATATATGGTTGCACTGACTAATATCTGACGGTTCTTTCCATCCAACTCTGAACGCTCTATCTTCTCCCTAACTGCATCAGTCCAGTAGAGCATACGATCTTCATAATCAATTGCCAAGCCACTGGGTTGAGAAAGATCCTTATCTATGATAGCCTTCTTCAAAGAACCTGCCATGGTGGTTCTGAAAATCTTTCCAGACGTTCCAAAACGACCCCAGTCAGTGTAGTACAATGATCCATTACAAGGATCCACCACGATAGCCCTAGGCCTGTCTACTCTGGCAATCATGACAAGGTTGGATCCATCTAAATCCATTGCATAAATACTGTTGTTCGAAGAGTCTGTCCAGTAGACCTTCTTCTGTGTCCAGTCATAGGAAATACCCTCTGGATTAATTCCCTTATTGATTAATGTATGTATCTCAGAGGAAGAAGGATTCTCTGCTTGCATCCAAGCTATCTTTGCCCAAGGTCTGATTTGAGTGAACAGTAATTTCTTATCTTGGTAATCAAAGTCTACACCTACCACATTCGTTAGGTTCCCTACAGAATTAAATGGTATACTGGTGTTCTGTGGATCCATACTAATAGCTCTGATCTCTGTTCTGGTTGCAAACACCAGGTACTCATCCACATTCTCACAACTTTTGCCATCAGCAGCCAATTTTCCAACTGCACATTCACATTTGAAAGAAACTACGTTTTCCTTGGGCATAGCAAAGCATAATTGCTCACATCCTGCATTTCCATCTGAGGAGCAAGGATTTGCGGAATCTGGAGGCTGACTATTCTGGTCAAACATCACAATATCCCTCAACTTAGGCAAATTTGACCTCACTGTCGTTGGTAAGCTAATATTGGCCTGTTTGCTGGCCTTGAACACTGTTGCCAAGTTCCTGTCAACCCAGTAGACATCATTACCATAAATAGCCACTCCCATGGGGTTAGGCAAGTTCCTCCTGATGACCTGACGGTTTCCTCCAGTATATGAGACCTTCTGAATAGTGTCTTGCTTGGAGTCTACCCAGTAGACGTCATGTGTAACAGGATCAATGGTTATGTCACGTGGAGTGCTGATGCCAGAGGTGACTATGGGAACCCAGTTGCTTCCATCCAGATAGGCTTTGCCTAATCTTGGATACTGACCATAATCTATCCAGTAGAGATACCTTTTTATAGGGTTCACAGCTAATTCTCTAGGAGAATCCGTGGTCTTCTTCACCAGCACCTTTCTATTGCTACCATCCAGCTTACATACTTCTACATAGTTGTCATGAGGGAATACATTGGTGAAGTAAAGGTTTCTAGCCACCCAGTCGATGGCAAGGCCTCTGATACCATTAGAGCCTATACCTTGCTTCACAACATGCTGCAGTTCAGTGCCATTTGGCCTAACACGGAATATTCCATTCCATGTGCCACGGTTGAACTCTACCCAGTAGATCCAGTTGCCTTCATAGTAAACATCAACATGGAGAATATGATGGCCCACTCCAGAGATTGGTACCATTGCTTCCTTCGCGTCTTTCAAGCTGTATCCTCTGGCTACGTCCAATTGAGTGACCACAGCGAAGGTCTTGAAGGGTTCACAGGTGGTGTCACTGACCTTGCGGTACTCCATACCGCAAGCACAGACCCTGGTGCCCCCAGAGGCTGGAAGACAGATCTGCTCACAGCCTCCATTGTTCACAAAGCATGGATGATCACCAGTGACCCTTTTCTTATAAATAGTCAGTGTCTTCAACTCAGAATCATTGTCAATTATTGTGGTAGGGTTACCTCCATCTGGTAGATCTACTCTTTCTATTTTGTCATACCTTGGATCGAGGAGATATAACCTGGACTCATGAACAGCTAGTGCTTTTGGCAATGCTATATTCTCTGAGACTATTTTCCTCAAATTTCTTCCATCTGTTGAGATTGCCATAATCAGAGCTGGGTATAATGAGCTGAAGTATATAGTCTTAGAAGGAATGTCAATTGTAATGGCCTCTGGTCTCTCTACATTGTCAACCAAAATTATGGGATTTGTACCATCCATATTTACCCTTCCAATCTTCATAGGGATGCCAAAGCTGCCATCATCTACCCAGAATATATGTCCCTCCAGAGGATCAACGCACATAGCCTTTGGTTTAGCTACAGAGGTCTTGTTACCATCATTGGCAAGCACTATTGTCCTATATCTAATCTTACCATCCACCTTTATAGCTTCAATGTTGGAGGCATATTTGTTTCCTATAAACAGATTTCTTCCCAACCAGTCGAACGCCATTGCAGACGGTGCTCCAACGATTCCACTTTCTCCAGAAGGACTGGGGAACTCTGTTCTGTTACCACCGTTGTATGGAGTCACATAAATTGTGCCATTCTCATCGTCGTCGTCCTTGGTCTGCAACCAGTAGATCATTCTCTCTTTTCTATCGTAGTCAATGAACTTTCCACCTTCTACTCCAACTACAGGAGTGATGTAACCTGTCTTTGTGCTTCCTGGTACCAGAGAAACGTCCACAATCTGTGAACCACGCAGAACCATCAGATAAGGAGTCTCTTCCTCCAAACACTGTCCATTGAACACTAGTTTGAATCCAACTTGACACTTACAGGTGTAACCTTGTGAATTTGTAGGGGACAACAGACAAAGGTGAGCACAGGTGGCATTTGCACAAGGATTTGGAGTGATTGGCTGTAGAACTGGATGATGAACATGTATTGATAAGGGTTGGGATATCAAATGAGACACCACTGTCTGATTCACACCATAGAATTTGTGAGCAGACAAAACCCTGTTCAATTGTCTATCTGTCCAGTACATAGTGTCCTCAAATAACGTTAAGGAGTGAGGATGTAGTAAATAGTGAGAGCTAGCCAGTACCTGGATCCTCTTGCTTCCATCATAAAGACACGTATCGATGAAATCCAATTTACTGTCAGCAAAGTATATTCTCTTATTTGCAATGTCCAAAGCAAGACCATTGGGCCAGTAGATTTTTGTACTAATGATGGTTGATCTATTATTACCATCCATGCCAATCCTTTCTATTCTTGGATTCTCACCCCAGTCTGTCCAGAATAGCCATCTAGCCCCAGGTCTGGGATCCAAACACATACCTCTGGGCTGTGTAATGTTCTCTTTAACCAGTATCATTCTACTACTTCCAGTTTCCTTAGCTACCTCAATGGTGTTCAGTTTAGAATCCAACCAGTACAAGTTCTGACCTATCCAATCATAGGCAAGCCCTTCCACCAGGTCCAAACCAGTCGAAATCACATCCTCAGGGTCCCTACCCAGATCTAACCTAGAAATCTTCTTTAGTTTCATGTCTGACCAGAAGATGGTACCTGTGTGCATGTTACTAGCAGTTGCAACAACGTTCTCTACATTAATTGGTACCCTTTCCAAGGCCAGATCTTGTAGATCAGCCACAAGAATTGTATGCCTGTTGGATATGATCAAAAACCCTGCACTGTGATTGAACGCTTTACAAGTATGTTTGTCCTTCTCTAAAAGGTAACCATCAACACAATTACAGTAGTATCCACCTTTAGTATTCACACAAATTTGAGAACAACGTCCAGGTGGCTCACATTCGTTCAGGTCCTGGCACGTGTAACCATCCTCGTTTAGTTCCTCACCGGGAGGACACGTGCACTGTTTACCCATAGGTGTGTGGATACACCCATTGCTGCAGTAGCCTCCTCTGAACTCACATTCCTGAAAATTGCATCCTATACCCTCGTCTGCGCCATTGGGACAGTCAAATTTCCCGTCGCATACACTGGTTATGTTCACACACCTATCTGTCACGTTTGGACACTTCCATTGCTGGGACTCACACTTGAATTCAGGAGCTGTGCAGGCGTGCAGCTCAGTATCCTCGTCAGACCCATCGCCACAGTCGTCCTTTCCATCGCAGATGTAAGCTTTGAACACGCACTTTTCGTTTCTGCACTTGAAGAATCCTGGTTGACACCCTACCTGTCCGCAAGAGGCTGGCTCGTCTGACCTGTCCTGACAGTCTGCAGTACCATCACAGTACCAACTCCTTGGAATACAGATGCCTGAGCTGACACACTGGAATTGCTTGTCGGTGTTGCATTGGTCAGGAGCCAAGGAGGGACAGCCAACCTCGTCGCTGCCATCATTGCAGTCAGATATACTGTCACATTTGTATGAATCAAGAACGCACATCTTCTGATCGGCGCATGTGAACTGGCTGCTCAGGCAGGTCACAGGTGGACAGCCTGCTTCGTCCTGCTGGTCGAAACAATCTTTGTCGCCGTCACAGACCCAGGCCTGCGGGATACAGTGGCCAGTAGTAGGACAGGCGAACTGGAAGTAGGAACATGTCGTAGCTACACAGAAGTCTCCCTCATCAGAATTGTCTCCGCAATCGTTCTCAGAGTCACACTTCCAGGTACTGGGTATGCATCTGTTGTTGGCACAGGCGAACTGGTTGGCGCTGCACGTGACGTTTGGACAACGAGCTTCGTCGCTATAATCCCCACAATCGTTCTCAGAGTCGCAAACGAAGCCTATGGGGACGCATCTACCGGACTTGCATTGAAACTCGTGAGGAGCACAAGTAGGTTTGGTGCAGTTTCTTTCATCACTGTTGTCCAGACAGTCGTTCTCACCGTCACAAACCCAGGCGTGGGATACGCATCTTTGATTGGCGCAGGTGAAGTCCCATGTATTTGGACAGGCCTCTAGTGGAGGTTCCGCCTCTGGATCAGGTGCACAGGTTTTACCATTCCCTTGAATGCGTTCACCATAGGGGCAACCGCAAACTCTGGTCAGCCTGGCGGTGCCGTACTTGTTGGTGCTATTCTGAGGAATGGCGAAACATAATTTCTCACAGCCACCGTTATTAATAGAGCATGGATGGTCTGGTAGAGAAGATTGAATATCACGGCTGTAGACTTTTACGCCGTAGAGTCTGTTCGTCTCAGGCTGGCGCACCAAAATAGACTCCTGTTCACCAGTTTCTTTGTGAAGCCTGATAATAGCATCTAACCTCCAGTCAGTGATGTACATCCATTGCTCATGAATGGCCATAGAGAAGGGATGTCTAATCAGCAAGGAGTTAACCATTCTTACGTCCGTACCATTTAGGTTGGAATGTTGCACATGATCTAATAGAGCATCGCACCAGTATAACCTGTCTTTGGCAAAATCTATGGCCAGGCCATTGGGCCAACCTAAAGTCAGATTTTTGAAGACTAACAAGTTAGTACCATCGGTGTAGGCTCTACTGATATTAGCAGGCCTGTCCCATTCTGAGAAAAAAATGTATCCCTGGTTAGGATGAATCACAATGGCTCTAGGCCTCTTCAAGTTCTTCAGCAATGTTCTACGATAGGTGACGTTCCTAGTGCTCAAGACGTTCAGTGTTCCTTTTCTAGAGTCGATGTAGTACAAGTTCTTGGCAGCCCAATCAACTGCAAGACCCTCCACACCTTCGTTCTGACTGGCTAAAACGATTTCCCTATTGATACCATTTTGACGGACCCTGTAGATCACGTCTTGCAAAACGTCGCTGTAGTAAATGTATTGATCATGCGCATCATAGTCCAGACCGACGAATCTGGCTCTCCTGGAGACCACAGGTGAGATGGCATCGCTGAATCCCTCCATCACAGGATCCAGCACTCTGCCCTTGATGAATCTCTGCTGTGAGTACATCAAGAACTCCTGGACCAGGTTGCAATTCCTCTGATCACTGGATAACCTCCAGCCTATGTCACAGGCGCACCTATAGCCTAATCTGTTCTCCTGGCCGCTAGCGGCAGTAACTATGCACATGTGTTGACAACCACCATTGTTGTTTCCACAAGGGTTCCACACTGTAGGTTGGGTGAGGGGATGCAGGGCCTTAATCCCCTTTGCGTCCCTCATTTTGAAGATAGTTTGTATCGAATAATCACCTTCTGTCTTGTCCACAACCATGATGGCTTGTTTTGTGCCATCTGTCCAGTAGATCTTGTTCTCAAAGAGGGTCAGTCTTGTTGGGGCTGGTGTATGTGGCCCTCTGAGCACCATGACTCTGTTTCGACCCATATAGTCAGCAGTTTCTATATAGTCCAGCTGAGAGTCACACCAGAAGATCCTTCGAGCAAACACGTCTACAGCCACGCCAGATACCTTGTAAGCTGCTTCAAAAACTACTGGGAAAGCTGCAGTGCCATCCATATGAGCCCTTAGCACTTGTTTACTATCAGCTATGAACATTAAGCCAACCGTAGGGTCTAAGCCAATGTCAGCTGGATTAGTCAAGTTGGAACTCAACGCAATACCATGGTACCTTCCATCTAACTCTAGCACATCAATCTTCTGGGCCACAGAATCCACTACATACAGCTTCTCTCCTATCCAATCCACTGCAATTGCCACTGGTCCCCATGAACTTGTCAAGTACATAGCCACCCTGGAATTGGAATCTTCATGGTGTAAAGGCTCTGAGTGCACTTTCTTGGTCTTAATATCGCTCCAAAAGAGCAGATCCCTGGAATAAAGGTAGTCCACTCCACTGGCACCTGTGGTGTTGGCCACAATGACCTTGGATTCACCAGTGGCAGACATCCTCCACACAGCTCGTTCTTGAGCAACTAATAATTCCAATTTCGCACCAAAGTGCTGTGTAACTCGACATTTGTTGCTTGCCTGGAGTGCAAAGCCTGGAGAACAGCTGCAAGTGTAGGAACCCTCTGTGTTCTTGCATAGCTGCTCGCAGAAGCCCCACTCCGAACACTCGTCACGATCTGTCCAGTGAAATGTAAATAAGAATATTGCAAAATATAGAAGGCATTAGTAGAGAGGAAGAAATTTGATATACCTATGCAAGTCGTTGAATCATTCGCGAGAACCCAGCCTGCGGGGCAATAGCAAACTCCTCCCGTGGGAGAGGCCCGACACTTATACTGACATTCTAGTGATCTACATATAATCGATGCTGTAAACAGAGAAAGTAAAATATTACAACAAGCTTTCAATTATGCTTCCAATCTGCCAAGAATGCAATAAAACACACTTATTCATTATGATTCTTACCTAGTCTGAATATCCACATCAATGTGTACCAATTAAAACAGAAAATAAAATAGATGCTCTTTAATTGATCAATTGTCATTTTGAGAAATGTGTCCAGAGAATTTATTAAATATCACAATTATTCAAACAATTTAATAAGTGAAATGTGTAATATTTACAGCAAGTAGCTGCTTCATCTGCTTCATCCTCACAGTCAGACTTTCCATCACAAATCTGAGAACGGTCAATGCAGAGAGGCTTGCCATCAGCTGTTCCCCTGGGGCATACAAACTTGTTTCGAGGACAGGACATTGTGGTGCAAGACATTTCATCAGAACCATCCTGGCAATCCTTGTAACCATCACAGACATAAGATTTTGGAATGCAAAGTGAATTTGCACAACGGAATTGATTGATTGTGCATGGTTGAAAGTCTAAAAATATCCAATTTTAATCATGAATCTTTCATTATGCTTTAACACATAGCCAAGGTATAATATAATAAGCTTACTGCAGTTCTCCTCATCACTATTGTCCTCACAGTCATCCTTGTAATTGCACCTTGCAGACTGTTCAATGCAACGTTGAGTGGAATTGCACCTAAATTGATCCAGTCTGCAAGGTTTTGCATTTGTGTCACACATTTCCTCATCTCTGCCGTTTCGACAATCCAAATAACCATCACACTTCTTTTCTTTTGGGATACAGAGCTCTGGTGTTGTGCCACCACACCGAAAATCATCTGGTTGGCATTTCCTATAATCTTTTTAACATTGACACAGTTAGTAATCTATTCTATTTTTTCATCTTAAGGAGTTTGCAATATTATAATACGTAATACTCACTGCAACCAGCTTCATCAGTCCCATCAACACAATCAACAGTCATGTCACATCGTTGATGGGGAGGTATACAGTAAGTCTTGTTAAAAATGTACTGGCCACAAGTGATCTGACCAGCTTCACAGTCTGGTGGCGCTGTAAACAATTAAACTTATTAATTTGACATGTTGCAATTGTGGGATTGACGCCGGTCGACAATCGATTCGGCCAATTTTTTTTTTTGTCATAGGAATGGCCGACAACCGCGGTTGCTGACCAATCTGCTGATCATCCTTACTTATTTATTTGGCCTAACCTGATGACAGGTTATCAAGCGTGTATGTGTACGTATGTTTATATGTGGATAAATTAGTGATTGACACCTGACGAAAGAATCGCCAGGGAAATCGTGAGGTGCAGATCACCAAACAGGCAGAACGATTCAGAGCTTTGAAAGAAGTGAAAGAAAGAAAAGCGTGTTATTAATATATCCCGGTTTTTCACAACCCCGATTCGCACGCAATTATTTAACAGTCACTAATCTGGACAATGCAAGACTTTAATAAAGCATTCATCAATTTGTATTTTCTATGGTGTATTACCATTAGCAGTACTTTCAATAACAATGCTAATTAATGGTAATTACAAGTAACCAAACTAACTATTGGTAATATCGGCCTGGTATCACTATTATTACATTAATTTTTAATTTATCCTTTCAATTATTTGCATATTGCAAACCATGTGCAAATAAAACAATTTTGAGAAAACCTCCAACATTTTGCTATCAGAATAGACGCAACGTCAGTAACTCACTCAGTTATCAAGTGTTATCACATCAGTTACATAAACAATGTTTATATCATTCCAAAAACAAGAGAAAAGCATAAATGTTAATTCTTGGCAAAGTAGATTTGTAATAATTAAATTAGTTACAAATTCTTAAACAAAAATTTTCCAGAATTATTAAAATTACATAATACTAGAAAACACTTGTATTATTATCAACGATCTAGAAATTAAATATCTTGAAAAACAAAATTATATAAACGCGTGTCGAATATAACAAATTGTTTTCGCTGAACATGTTTTGCTTTTCTTGAAATCTCGCGTCTGCCGTAAGCGCACCGAAGAGGATTCGAATCTTCCTCCCGGAAGCATTTTTCTCGCCCACCACAATTTTCATTCTTTTGTGCTGCAACAGTTTATCATCAGGACACCGGAAACGCTATAACCATCAACTTTTGCGTCGTTACTGTAGCGAGTGCAGTTTTAAAAAATATTCCAAAAATACTTACAGCAAGATTGAAATTCATCGTCCGCGCCCTCACAATCTTTCTGATAGTTGCAGACTAATGTGGCCGGTATACAAGTGCCATCGTGACATCTAAAGCTATTAGAGCTATTAATGCCGCATAAATTGCTATCGGCTGTAAAAAATGAAAAAAAAAAAAATTATTTATTTTCTAATTTAATACAATTTAAATGTGGAGTGGGCCATAAGTCGCTTTACTATTTAGAAATTGAATAACTTTTCTTTTATTATGTACTTTTAAATTTTTATTCCAGAGCTTGGAAAAAGCTTATTCAATTTTTACATGGTAAAACGACATATGAGCCACCCTGCGTACATTTCCCACTAAAAATTTTAAAATTACCGCCAAACTAAATCTACTTAACACCGTTAATGAATTCGATTCGATTATCGATTCTATATCTATCGTACAATATATCGTCTATATTCAATCTATTGAATCACGTATCGATGTAAAATGAAATAAAATTGTTTTTGTTAATAATAGAATGTTTCATCAATCTGGAATGTGCATATCGTCTAAAACATTAACGATTCAGGAACATCGAAGCAGGAACATTCGTGACACGTAGTTCAATGCATCAGTGGCGTGATAGGTGAAAGGTTCAATGGATGGTGGGAGCTCCCTCTTGAGATATATATTAAAAATCCTTTTTCAGCGAGACCGAAACAATCCCGATTCGAGGAATCGAACGATGCTACCTTATTTTCCCGCGTTTTCTCGACACCGTCTCACGAGCAAAAAGATAATAAAAATTACAGCGTTCGATTCCTGGTTCAAACCCGCTTCCCACAGATTCGTAGATAAGACACAATCTAGAATCTAAATTTCGAATGAAATAAAATTCTTTGATAGTAATTACAGCTCGCGATAAATGTATATCGTACGACGTAGAAGATGTAACGTGTAATCTGAAATTATTGATTAGGGTACAAACTCTCTGCAAGTTAAAGAGAGCGAAAAAATAAGTTTGGAAATGTTGCAACATAACGTTACGCAACCACGAATATTTGAAACGTCTTAATAAAAATATAATTTTGTCAACTTCAATGCTGAACATATTTATTGAAAATTTCTAGCTGGTTAATTAATCCGTGAAAATCACGGAGAATATTCGTGGAGTGAAGAAAGTCGTCTTACTGCACGAGATATTAGTACACGAAATGACAGGCGTGATTAACATAATTTAACGTCGTTCAGAGCGACGCTGATGAGGCTGATGATTTTGCTTAAATGGATCAGAATCGAAACGATCGAACACGCCAATTAGGTGCGCGTTACTTACTTTTCCTAAATAAGAAAGAAATAGAGGGGAAAAAAAAAAAGAACAGAGTAACAACGCAACGATTTCGAATTTTTTCATTTCAGCGGCTGACTTTCTATAAAATTTGTGGAACAAATGAGCGTACCTGGTGGCTATTCAACGCATGAGAACAATCCCCGTTCTCAATCCGCGTTGCATGTGTACTTGTGATTATAATTACGAGCGGTAATTACAAGAGCGCAAATTACAAAATTTCAACGCAAGACATTTTCACTAAACGATCGACTTATCTAATTCGCATACCTCACTTTCTTTTTGTCCCTTTTATCGAAAGAATTAAAATAGAGTTATATTTCATTTCAAATCTGTTAATGAGAAAGAAAAGATCACGAGAAATTCGAATGTTTGAAATCCGAGGATTTTTTAGTGTGAAAGGCGTGGATTTTTAATGAACCAATTTATCGATGGATCTCTATGGCGTAGAACAGCGAAAAAGGAAACGAAAAGAAGCAGAAAAAGCGTCGTCCATGGACTGGAGACAGAACGGTACCGACTGGCACCGAACAGATAGAATCTCAGCGGAATCTAGCTGGAATCGGTTATCTAGCACGTACCTACCTACCGTATATGTGCATCCTTTCAAGGATAACATCAACAGGATGCTAAGCCTTTCTCGTTCGATGACGTACGCTGAATAATATTGGCTCTTACTGCCACAAATTTGCAAGGACACGACGATATACAGGAGTAGTTTTTTAAAATTCCCCTAGAGGCCAGAAATTATAATTACGACTTAACGATCGAGCTACGACACAGTGTTATCGACCTGGAATTATACCTATTAAATCCAATATGGATCTTCTTTTATTTATTGTATGTTAAAAATAAATCGGCACAAGTACGAAGGCAGGGTAGGGAGGTCATAAATGTAAGATAAAAGTATCGGTGGTTTCATTTCGGAAACATTTTAGCGTTGCTGGGCACGAAAACGCCAATAACGTGTCCTTGGCAAGAAAATAAGCGGTCCTGTAGAGACGAGTGTTGATTTAGCCGCGACCGAAAACGACACGTTTCATCTCATAAACATTTCCCCACATGTTGCAGTCCATAGTACGTGCATTTTCGTCGAATCTCAACAATGATTATAATTTTAATAAAGAAATATCTCAGTTTGTAAAGAACATTGTAAGACAAGGAAATATGATTTTACTTCAATCTCTCTACGGATATGGGGGAATGTAATTTTGACGATTGCTATTAAACATACGAAGATACGATCTATTTTCAAATAATCATAATTTATTTTACTACGTCAATTTTATCACATAGAATCTTATATTACTTTATAACCTAACAACGATACACTCGTGAAATTCCTTGCGACACACCATCGCCTAACTGGTTCAAAAAAGGGAACTATTCTGAATAAACCGGCTTTTAAGCAACATCGATCGAAAGGCGATCCCAGAAACGGCGTCTCTCCGTGCAGCAGGTTGCCAATTTTCTCATCTCCGTTGTACATCGTGAACAGAGGTGCGCGCTATGTCGTTAGTAGGAGGGAGCGAGACACCTAGAGCGAGGGGAACGGATGGGGAGAGGAGAACAGTGCACCGCTCGTACCAGGCGGTGCGCCCTGGTACCGACGGCACGCCAGTAGACTCGGCCAGACTCAGCAAGACCCGATCAGGAGTCGTGGAGGAGAGCCGAGGAGGGTGGGGAGCTCAAGTCAGAGAAGTGCACTCGCCTACCTTCGTTCCTCACCCTGATCTTTTTTGTGCGATCCCCTCGCGACCTTCTCTAGTCGAAAGGCTCGATAGAGAGACTTCCCTGTATCGAGGAAACCTCAGCTCGGTTCCCGTGGGACACGTGTTTCTGAATAATTCACCATGTTGACAAATCTTGGGGACCTCGTATCCCAACGAAATTTTTCCTCTAACAACGTTTTGAGTGTACAAAGGGTACACTGACCACTGCCAGACATATCCTGAATTAATTAATATATATCATCAAATTTTTCCATCGTCGCCTGCCTTATCAGGTAACATCTTGACCTATGTTTTTGAACAGATCAACACATTAAGGTCCAATGGTTCTGTAACGATAGAAAATTGATAGACTTGTAATTATAGACACATTGGTCGCTCTTCATTGGTGGAACAAGTATTCAATCGGCCGGCACAAATGGGATTCTATGTTTACCGGAGAAATCCGGGCCGGTCAGCCGGACACATAGAGCATTCATTGTATCCAACGCAACGATCGTAAACTCGTAAGACAGTTTTTACCTGCCTGCGAGGATCTCAATGATTTGAAATCACTTTCACTGACTGATGCGAACACACATGTACGCACGTCTACGTATTTAATTGCTCCGAGCTAATTTTGCACAACGTTGTATGCACGATCTTCCGTGTTCATTAAGACCGTTTACATAGCAGTGGAATGTCCATACCTTTGTTCCCCGCATGGACATACATATCTATATCCATAATTAAGGTAAATTATGGTATATAAATTATGGTAAAGTACATAATTAAAATAAATGACCCTATTACCGGACATATAAGAATGTGACCGTTTAAATAGATATTTCCTATATCGTATAAACACATTTTCGTGAGGTATTGATTATTGAGATTGTGGGTCTCTCTAGTTTTCTAATTAAATCAGTTTTCAAGTGTGATGTGAATGTTTACAAGAAAATTATAGTGAAAATTACAGTCGGTCTGATGTCCCCTTTATTGACCTACTTGTGCCTTCTACCGACCGTCTTATGTCCCCATTACCGTCCAGTAGTTTCAATTATTACACAGGCAACATTTTGTCTATTATAAATTTGTTTCCATTAATGTAATAGTGGGGAAAAGTAAAGTGTTTCTTTTGCATATGAAATACCCAGTGAACTAATTGATTTTCATCGTCAATTGTTAATACTATAGTTGATCCACTTCTAGTATTATTGATGGCGTCAACTCTTTTTTTTATCACACAATGTGATTTTTTTAGATTCCTCAGATTTTATTTTAGGAACAACCTCCTTTAATTCCTTTTCCGTATACTTCACGTGTTTACATTCTTCCTTCTTTATTTTAACCATTACTATTTTCTAGAGAAAATATATTTATGCTAATTGGTATTCAAAAGTAAACGTAGTCATTAATGGGGTCATTTACTGTACGTTAGGATGAACGGTTCGGCGTGACTCAGTGATGATCGTTTTTGAAACATAGCTGAGCTAAACTGAGCTGGCGTGTCTGGAATCCGTCTTAATCCTTGATTGTTAATGTGGAGGCTCGCTGACTAGGTTAGGTTAATTAAATGTCTACGAACTATCATGCATAATACAAGTGCCATATAAGATGTTACTTAAATTTCTTCATTCCTTCTATTGGTATTGAAGGTATTTATGGTTAGGTTAGATTAGATTAGGTTACATTGGATTAAGCTACATCCTAAAGTATTATTATCCATTATACAGGGAGGTATCATATTAGATGTTGCTTAAATTTCTTCATTTATTCCGTTGGTATTGAAGGTATCCATGGTTACGTATTAGCAGGGGTACAAACGTAATATTTTTGATCGTTTCAAACGTTCGCCGATTCCCCGCTATTTTTTCGTTACTTCAGCCGTAAAAAGAGCGCGCAAGACGTCGACTGTAAAAACACGGTTGAACATAATTCCGGTTTAATAGCCCGTAATTTACGTCTACGACGGAATCGAAGAATCTCGACGTGTCATATAACGGGTGGCCAATAAATACAGCCTTGTCCCGATTCTGTCGTTCAATCTAGATTCTTCGAGACCGAAGACAAAGGGGAGGAGAAGGGGGAGAGAGAGAATGATGACC